ATCCGGTTTTCTAGTCGCAGTAACATTCTCTCTTGAATCTGGGACCTAGAAGAATTGTGCTAAAAACATCTAAGACATGTTGAACCATAGTTATCACCGCGTCATTAACTAACCTCCCTAGTTTCACTGCAAGTTTCTGCAACAATAATAAGGAAGCGAATCCTTATGAGGTTTTCTCGATCTGCCGTTGGATGACGCTTTCATCATGATTCAAGATTTTCTCATGAACTCTATGCTCTGCAACTTTTATCCACGTTGTTTTATCGAAACTTCTTCTCTTCATCATGCGACTGGTCATGAGGTCTTCTATTTGGCCGTTTACTGCTTCTTGGAGCCAGCGATGGTTTGTGTTTTCCCTACAGCATGCCGAGAGTTTTGTCATGGCAATTTCTTCTCTTACGTCGCTCGCATCAGTTTGTTCTCTCCTCCTTCCTCGCTTCTTCTCACTTCTCTTCCTTATCCAAACATACATCTTTCCACACTGCATTGGGCAGCACGAGTTTATGGTTTCTGATCACATTTCATGCTTTCGTTATATATTTCATATTGAAGGCATTCAGTAATCTCCGATGTTCCAGCTGAAGCACGACGACCGTTTTTCTGATAGGAATATCTTCGGCACTCCAAAGAAGTTTGATGACATTTCCGCTCTTCTGCCTCTCTGATGTATCACAAACGGAAACGTAAAACATAGGCGATATTCTTGGCATTCTTCACTGAGCTGATCCTTCTTTGTAAATTACAGGGATCAGTATTGCTTAGTCCCGTCATGTCCGTCTTGTGGCGTGATTTGTCGCCACGAGCTTCTAGATTTCCTTTAGCTCATCGTCCCACCTGAGCTGCGGTCTTCCAATCGGGTGTCACTACTGAAATTCGTCCGCCATTGGTCAGTCGTGCAATGCCACCTGCACGCTGTGGTCGTCTTTCTTGTGAATCTGCTACTTCTTGCTTCATTCTCGTGCCTTTCTCTTCTTATTGCTTCATTTCGCAGCTGTCCGTAGTGCAAATTCGTAACATCCTGCTCCTGCTTCCCATAATCCCATGCTGTACTCTTAACGGCTCCTCATCACTCTTCTTTTATGCCAAGTCTCGCAACGACGTAGAATCGTCCGTAGTACCGTTATTTCATAGGATATGGCTCTAGCTGATCATCCAGTGTCATAATCAACATAATGTGCAACCGCGATTTCGATAGCCACAGTTAGTCATTTCCTGTCTTCAAGAATATCATCGTTTCTTCTATGTGTGCTCCGCGTTGCCAGACACCTTCTAGCGAGTCTTGAACCAAAGAAGTCTCGTCACATGATCAGCTGTCCTAAGTAGACATATTCGTGACTATGGTAATCACCTATGGTAACTGTGGCTGGTTGTACGTATTGTTCCTCATCTTTTTCGTTTTTTCCGCGTTTATTCGAGGTCCAACCTGCCTCTATTTAACTCTAGATCACATCGTTTAAATTTGTTTTGCCTTCGTCTCCAACAGAACGAGGTTTTCAGCAAAATCGAAGACGAGTTGTCGTCTGTCATGGATTGAAAATCATCGATCT